AATAATATTTGAGTCAGAAACCTCAATCTCGCGTTCTAAAAACGATCCAAGAACGTTTTTATTCTTTGCCATTCTTAGGTATGAAAAAGCAAAGTGAGATGCAAGTGCGATTATTTTCGACTCTCTATATTCTTTTGGAGATATTTTGATCGATCTTGTACTTCGTGTATTTCGCACATATTGGAAATGTTGGAAAAAATTCCGTTTACTTTTGCACGCATAAAGATTAGTTTTATCGTTTTCGCATTATATTTTCATTCGTGTTGATTACACAAACCGAAACAAGTGAATAACAAGTGAATACACTCGCTCCGTCCTTCTTCCCGCTTGACATTATTTATGCAGAATGATATTTTGAGTCAAATATTTGGCAACCGCATCTGGCGGAAGAGCGAATCTCCTTTGCATTCCAGGCTTATCATATCATCTGCAATTTCATACTCGAAATAATGCAGGAATTCTCGATGAATTCCCTCCTTCGTAATTTCTTTCCACGATCTTCCTATCTTCCTTTGTTACATCACAGTCACTATAATTACATCACGCAAACGATTACTCATCGCTCAAATAATTCTCCCGACGATTGCATCGATCTTACTCGATTTCTTTCACATTTCGATCCTTTTCAGATTTTTCTTTACAATTTTTTTTTTTTTCTTTTTCTTTATTGTAATCGCATTACAATTGAAATTAGAAGAGAATAATTTTTTTCTCGACGATTGCATCCATCTTACTCGATTTCTTTCACATTTCGATCCTTTTCAGATTTTTCTTTACAATTTTTTTTTTTTTTTTTTCTTTATTGTAATCGCATTACAATTGAAATTAGAAGAGAATAATTTTTTTCTCGACGATTGCATCCATCTTACTCGATTTCTTTCACATTTCGATCCTTTTCAGATTTTTCTTTACAATTTTTTTTTTTTTTTTTTTATTGTAATTGCATTACAATCGAAATTAGAAGAGAATAATTTTCTCCAGATGGTTGCATCGATTTCTTTTACATTTCTATCCTTTTCATTATTTTTCTTCGACTTTACTATTTTTTTTTTTTTTTTTATTGCAATTGCATTATAATCGAAATTAGAAGAGAATAATTTTTTCTCAACGATTGCATCTTACTCGATTTCTTTTACATTTTGATCCTTTTCAGATTTTTTTTAACATTGTAATCCTTCTTTTGGATTTTTTACCATTTTTTTTTCTTTATTGCAATCGCATTATAATTGAAATTAGAAGAGAATAATTTTCTCTCAATGATTGCATCGATTTCTTTTACATTTGTATCCTTTTCAATAATTATTTCTTGACGATTGCATCGATCTTACTCGATTTCTTTCACATTTCGATTTTTTTTAGATTTTTCTTTACAATTTTTTTTTCTTTTTTTTATTGTAATCGCATTACAATTAAAATTAGAAGAGAATGATTTTTTTCTCGACGATTGCATCTTATTCGATTTCTTTTACATTTCGATCCTTTTCAGATTTTTTTTTGACATTGTAATCTTTCTTTTGGATTTTTTACCATTTTTTTTTTCTTTATTATAATTGCATTACAATCGAAATTAGAAGAGAATAATTTTCTCCCGATGATTGCATCGATTTCTTTTACATTTCTATCCTTTTTTTATCCATTATTTTTCTTCGACTTTACTATTTTTTTTTTCTTTATTGCAATTGCATTATAATCGAAATTAGAAGAGAATAATTTTTTCTCAACGATTGCATCTTATTCGATTTCTTTTACATTTCGATCCTTTTCAGATTTTTTTTTGACATTGTAATCCTTCTTTTGGATTTTTTACCATTTTTTTTTTCTTTATTGTAATTGCATTACAATCGAAATTAGAAGAGAATATTTTTTTTTTCGACGATTGCATCGATTTCTTTTACATTTCTATCCTTTTCAATAATTTTTTCTTGACGATTGCATCGATCTTACTCGATTTCTTTCACATTCTTTCACATTTCGATCCTTTTCAGATTTTTTTAACATTGTAATCCTTCTTTTGGATTTTTTACCATTTTTTTTTTTCTTTATTGTAATTGCATTACAATCGAAATTAGAAGAGAATAATTTTTTTTTCGACGATTGCATCGATTTCTTTTACATTTCTATCCTTTTCAATAATTTTTTCTTGACGATTGCATCGATTTTACTCGATTTCTTTTACATTTCGATCCTTTTCAAATTTTTTTTTGACATTAGCTAGTCCTTCTTTTGCATTTTTTTACCATTTTTCTTTTTCTTCTTTTCTTTATCGTAATCGCATTACTCACGATTGAAATTAAAAGAAAATAATTTTCTCTCGTTCACTTGATTTTCTATATTTCGATTCTTTTCAGATTTTTCTTAGGAAATTAGAAAAGAATAATTTTCTCTCGATCCCATCGATTCCATTAAATTTTTTTAATTTCCTCCATCTCTCACACGAGAAATTAGTCGAAATTTTCAAATATTTTTTTCTCTCTCCAATTTCGATAAAAATTCGGACGAATGAGATTTACGGGGGTAAAAGAATTTAATGGAAACGCGACGAATCGAATTTAATGAGCTCCACACTTTGGTACGCATGAAGAATGAAGGACAATTACGGATCATTGTCGTTGGAAAATATTAATCCAGGAGGAGGAAAGAATCGAGCAGCACTCCTCCCCCGATCAGTTACGTTAGCTCTCGAACAGTTCGCGATAACGGTGAAAAATTAAAGAAATTACACGATGCAAATAAATCGTGCAAGCACGAAGCAGTAAAAGTGTCAAACGATCCTATTTAACCCCTTAATGACTTTTATACGCGGCATTTTTCCGCGTCAGATTAAGGAAATTTAGCCCCGTTTCAGTAAACAAAATCCGCTGTACTACCCGCTCGAAATAACTAAATTGATCCCATTAAACTTGCTTAAACTATAACTTTACAGAGGGGGCGTGTCAAGAACACCTAATGAAACGTGCAACACCACGAATACGATAAGCCGACCGAGCTTTGTCATTTTCACTCGTCCTCTCGTGCCTTCAGAGACCCTTATTAGGAAACAGTATCGATAAAATACACGTTACGACAGATATAAATAATTAATTAAAGACGAACTCTTGAAATTCTTGATTGCTTTGTAAATATTATTCCATTGATTGAATATCAATGTAAATTTAAATTATTATATCGAAGATGTGTAAAAGTATAATATTCTTCTCGTTGACGAAACTCGACGAATTTTTCGAACGTTTTAATTAACGATTCGTTATAGAAATCTCGTGTATCGAATAATTAGACAGTTTATTATCTATAGGATCCATTTTCAACGTCCATTTCGCAAAGATGTCTCGTCCACGACGAGGGAATTCGAGGTTAGGATTGGTCAAGGTGAAGAGGGTCGATAATAAAGATTAGGGAGGGTCGGTAAAGAAGATAGATATAGATTAACCAGGGATAAAATGTGCATATATCCAATACGTGTATCGATGTATTATCTCTCGCATCGCGATATCGATCGATTGTTGGAAGACGTTGAACGACGAGACTTTATACTCGAGATGCAAGCTGGCTACCGAGATCGCTTGTCGCAGTTGTATTATTTATAGAACGTTATTTGCAGCAATAACGGTGTTGGCAAATGTCCAGCACTTCTACACAATGTGACGTTATATAGGGGGCAATTAATCGCACTTTTATTATTCGATAGTGTCGCGATAGAATCCCTTCCCCTGATATCCGGGAGGGAAGGAGGAAGCTATGGACAAACAATGCTTCAAATCTTTCGTTCTTCGCTCGGAAAAAAAAAAAAAAAAAAAAAAAAAANNAAAAAAAAAAAAAAAAAAAAAAAAAACGAAAGTCGAGCTGTTAAAAATTTCGTGAGATTTCGAATTTTCGACGGATGGAAATTGCAAATTCAATCTTCAATTCGAATATGGGATAATTTTAATCTCCCCTCCCCCTCGTGTGTAACGAAAGTTTCGCGTGGTTTATAAGCGAGTGTACGAACTCGATTTGCCTTGGTAAGAACGTCGTGCATACGTACACGACGTTCCCAACGTGTGTTATCATGTTAGAAACTAACCGCCGCAAACTATAACTTTACATAATTGGAAAACTTGCGTCATCGATCAGCTTACCGCAAAAGTTCAATAGAATTGGTTACAGGAGCGAGTTAAAGCTCTCGTCACGCGTATTAACCGGTATTTTAAATGGCAACAAATAATCGAGGGGATAAAGCGTCCCCTTCAACAGAAGAGAGAATAATAAAAATGTCAAACAATAATTTCTCTCTTCCATGGAATTTCTTATTCGAATTATCATTCCATCTAAAATGGATAATCGATAAAAACGATATCTCGTAGAAAATTACCATTTCCAAC